CCCGCTCTAAATAAAAAATGGATGACGGAGGAGACTCATCCACGACCTCCGACACTAAACTCTCCTCCTCTTGCATGTTTCCGCTGTCCATAGCGTTCCTTGACAGTGTCGTTTCTAAGTCACCAATTTAGGGCTAGTTGGTCCCAATGGAATTTCCCATTGGGAACCTGCTAGCACTAAGATGCTAACTGGTTAGCAACATGCTTCCGACGAACCGGCCACAACCAAACTGGCTTGTGAACCTTCCGCCACAACAATCCTGCCCCCTTGATAAACGACCAATCACATCACTTTATTCACTCGTGTAAAGTCAGGCACCACTCGGAAGAATTTGGAAATGCAACGATTGGAACAGCCGTTTCCGTACAACTTTAAAGAATGATTGGCACTTTTTCGCAGAATTGAATATTTATAGGGTGAAAATTCTACAACTGCGCTGCCCTTTACTGTATGTGGGGTAAGCAGGAGCACAGAGCGAAGGCAGATCAGGGAGAGGAATTTATTTATTTTTTTTGTTCCAGCTTTTTATTGTCATTACACTGTCGCAAGTACAGAGCAACGAAATGAAATCTCTGCATTGAACCCATCCCCTTGGGGAGCAGTGGGCTGCCATTGTGCGGGGCCCAGGAAGCAGTGTGGGGTTAAGGGTCCTGCTCACGGACCCAGAGTGGCAGTCTGTGGGAGTTGGGTTTGAACTCAGAACCTCAGGATTCCAAGCTCTATGCCCAGACCACAAGGCCGCCCCTCTCACACCAAAACACTCATATTCAAGTCATTTAGTTCTGTTTTTATCATGTGGGCTCTAACTGCTAGTCAGTTATTTACTTGGAGTAAGGTTAGATAAGAAATGACTTTGCTGTGCAACAATGTAAGCAGTAACATTAAAGCTATGCCTACTTTAGGTATGTTTTTTATTAACACCAGCCTTGCTCGGCTTCTTAACGTTTCAAAATTATAATTTCCCATCTGGAAATCAACAGCAAACCAGTGGACAGCCTTCTTACATTGTAAGAGCGATAAGAGGTTTGTTCTAAAGCTGTGTTCCTTTTTACACTGAAAGCTGGAACTTTAAACTAAAAGCAAATTAACCAAATATTAAGTTTTTCCTGTGCATTCTAACCTTATAAAAAACATAATGTTTCAGTTAGTCAAAGATACTTTGAATTCTCTGCTGGGTTAGTGAGATCATTTTGACTTTGTGGGTCAGGCAAACTTCAGCGGAGCTGTTGCCATGGTTCTGTAGTAAACAGCTCCAAAGTGTTTTTACAAAGGATGTTTCCCTGGTTACTGCTACAGCAGCAGTTCATGCTTTTGATCTCCTGGACCCGCCTTCCTCTGACAAACATGATCTTGTCCCACTAACCTTTCAATGGCCCAAAATAGGTTCAGGCTGCTTATATTTAGGGTTATATAATAGTGGAAATTTCCTTTCACTGATTTAACACCATGTGGGCCCAACTTCGTGTATATCTTAACTAAATCTAAAGCTTTAAATCATGTCTGCTTTTTGTTCTAATAGAATGAATGTTGAGCATGAAAATCAGGCAATAGAAACATCTAGATCAGGGAGATTATCTTCGCTAAAAGCTGATCATGCTCTGGTTGGGGTCTGACCTCTTTAAAGCTGCTGTGGGTTCCAGTCTGACCTCTGACCCCTCTGCTCTGTGCTGGTTCCTCTCCTGCAGGTCCGATCAACATCACAGCAGAACCAGGACAGAACGTCACTCTGCCCTGTAGAGGTTCCAGAGGAACCATCATAGTGGTGGAGTGGAGCAGAACTGATCTGGGCTCAGAATATGTTCTCCGCTACAGAGACCAGCAGTTGGACCCAGAAAACCAGAATCCATCATTCAGGAACCGAGTGGACCTGCTGGACCCACAGATGAAGGCTGGAGACGTGTCTGTGGTTCTGAAGAACCTGACGACTGATGACAGAGGAACATATGAGTGTCGGGTCGTTCAGAGAGGAACCAGACGCAGGAAGAGAGGTTCTTTAAAGACCCGACCCGTCAGCAGCGTGGTTCTGGATGTGGTTCCATCAGGTCAGTTTGTTCGGCTCAATTTAACCTAAAAATTATTTTCATCAAACATCAAAGTTTATAATAAGATTAAATCTGAGCTGTAACTGTTCAGAACTTCATTCATCATCTGCCTGCAGCTCACACTCACTGCTGGTTCTGTTCTGGTTCTGTTCTGCAGGAAGTGAAGATGAAAGCAGAGAGGATGGATCTGTTGGACTGCTGGTCGGTCTCCCAGTTAGCATCATTGCTGCTGCTGCTGCTGTTGCTGTAGGTTTAATTATCTATAAGAGACCAGGATGTTTGCAGCAGCTTTATGAACATCCTGCTCATCAAACAGCTGTGGAGCTGCACTGACCTTCAGAACCGGGTTCTGGTTCTAAAAGACACAGAACATATCAAGCCAGAAGACAATGAAATTAGTCTTTCATGTTAGAGGGAAACATGTGGCAATGACTGAAAGTAGAAATTATTTACAGCAACAGATTTATTCCAGATTAGAATTAAGATTCTAAAGTGTTGCAGTAGATTAATGAAGGAAAGTTTGTTTTCTGTCTTTAACTCATCCCTTAGGGAGCAGTGTGCTGCCCCCTGCTGCCACCCTGAGGAACACACAGGGAGAGAGCCTTCTGGGTATAATTCATGGACCCGAGTTTCAAACCAGCAACCTTTGTAGTCTCTCCAACCACTAGGCCACTGCTCCCATTAAACAAACCTAAAACATGTAGAAGTTCTGGTTGTTTAACCAGGATGGTTGTGCTGCTGGCAGGCCTGGATCTGTACTGGACCTGTGGTTCCTCCTTCTGATGGACTTTCTGTGTCACGTATTTGTCTGGTTTAACAACTGAACTTTCAAAACGTGTCCTGAAGTGTCTTTACAGTAATGAGGTCTATGTGAGCCTTTTTTGTCTTTCTGCTCCTGCTGTTTAAATGGTCTTCATATGCAACTGCTGACATACATCCAGATGATGAAGCCTTTATAGCCAGTGGCAACGCTCATATTATGGCCTCTATGTTAGGCTTCAGCAACATAGATTTATTTAGAATTAGAAATGAATAAAGTTCTGTAGCAGCAAGGTACCAGCCCCCCATCATTGATTTAGTCCATCACCTTCACAGTGTCCCATTTGCTCTGCCTGATTTACATTTAATGGCCACTAGATGGCAGAGAGGAGCCAGAAGAGAACCATAGTCTGTTGGAACATCTCAGGTCCAAATGTTCCTCTGTCCCTAATGCTCCCATTTTTTCTGGCTGACTCTGAACCTTCACTAGCAGAAAGCCTGACTTCTCCATAAAGTTTTATCTGGAGAAAATCGAAGGATCCTAATGGATGTTAGATAAACCTCAGGTTTAGTTAAAAAAAAAACAATCAACATAAAGATAAATCAACCTTCTATGTTCCTATTAATTTTGTTTGTGATATTACTGATGTTTATTGATTGTTGTTTATTTTTTCCAGTGTGTGTGACTGTTTCCTTTTATTTTTTACTCACCTTAAAGCTGTTTAATATAAGTATTTAGTGCAGTTATATTACAACTGATCTGTATTGACTGAAAAAGTATTTTATAGGTTAGATTTTATAACCTGTCAACATCAGTTTTTGCAAAGTCATGTGTTTTGACATGACCTCTGCTCTAAAATCAGCTCCCTTATTTCAGCATGAACTTCATGGAGCTTAATGCTAAACCTACGATGTTTCTGACAGGATGCATGAACTGGGAGCTAAATAATGGGATTGATTTCCCATTAATGCTGTGAACAGTTGTCATGTATAGGGTCATCACAGTGCTAAAATTAGAACAGGAAAGAATAACAGTTTTGATACTGAGGGGATAAACATTGACCAATAGTTAAAGTCATAGCAAATATTTATTTATATTAAAAACTCACTGTTTTACATCTCAAACAAGCTTCCTCGACACAATCCCAGACACCAGGTGACTAAATGTGTCAATGAATGAAAAATAAATAACCCAAATATAAAACAATTTCTCTTGTTTTGATAACTATACAAAGCACTGAAGTTTATTTGATATAATCAGCAAACAGGTTGCCATAACTTAATTTTAAAGTCTTTGAATGAAATCATAGTGAGCCGCTGCTGTAGGAAATCATAAACTATGTGAATGACCTATTTAAACAAACCTGAAGAGGATTCAAAGAGGAACTGAAAATGTTTGGTCACCCACATACCATTTGATGTGTTCCTCTGAAACTAATAAAGTCTGAAACTAATAAATAACCTCCAAGAACCAATCAAACGAGTTGATGTTTATTTGTTTGCATTAATCTTAAGTACATTTCATGTCTGCTGCTTGTCTTTAATCCTGTTTGTGGGTCCATGGACACAATTAACCATGTTAGACTCATATGTGTGTTTAAAAGTAAAAAAAATGAACCAACAAGTCATCAAACACAAAGAAAAAACAAGCAAGGTTCACACTTTTTTCACTCTGCAGCCTACTGCTGCTTCCTCTGTGGGTTTTTTCTCTCTCTTTGCAGCTCTGAAGTGAGGTTTGTTTTAACCACAACATGAACAAATAGCGCTGGAAGTATTGTGAAAGCCACATGATGCATCACGTCAGGTGAAGGTGGTGGACTGCAGAGAAGCATCATTGCTGCTGTGACTTTATAAGCAACCCCATAAATACTACTGCACCTATTAGTCATTAGTCTGTGAGTGACGACATCGATGGCAGCTGGTGTTATTGCTTAGATTTTCTCAGTGAGGAGTAGATGCTGTCTGGCTCTGGTTGAGGCTCTGAAACACAGTTAAGGGATAAAATGAAATATGCTTTATTCTAATAAAGCACATAGTAAGACGTTAAAGCCTCTTCTTTTTTTTTTTTTTACCTCTGTTCCTGTTTTTTCTGATGACTATCTGTCCATAACTGATGTCTTCTGTTCTCACGTCTGAATAAATGACAGCTGGATCCTCCTCTGAAAAACAAAAAGCATCATGTTGACACAGCATCAGCAGCAAAGGAACCTGTGGTGAATGACTTTATTCTCATTGTTTATGGGAAGATTCAAGTGAAGACAGTTTTTTTTTTCTTTCTAACACCTCTAGAGTGAGAAATGTGACACCTAGCTTAGTAAAACTGTAATAAAAACACCTGTGGTAAAAGTATGCATCCTGTTGGTAGATCATGCTGGAGGTAGAGAGTATGCCAGGCTCAGCCCATACCATGAGGGGTATGGAGCTGCTAGTTCTTTTTCCTAACAGTCTAAATATTAAGATTGTCTTTCCAAAAACAAAGTTTGAAAGCAGAGAACCCAAAGGACTGTTGGTGGATCATTTTGTCTTCTAGTTAATGCAGGATTCCAACAGTCTGATAAAAACGTCTGAGCTTGTTTAGTTATGAGGCATCTCACCTGTGGAACCAGCTCAAAGTTTTAATCTGAAAGTTAAAAACCCTGTCAGCTTTTAAAATGTTCCTTTTTGATTAATCTTATAGTTAGAGCGGCTCACGATATCCTGAGCCATCTCCATAGTTATGCTGCTATAGGGTTAGGCTGCAGGAGGACAAAAGGTAAACTTTATCTCTGCTGTCTGCACTCTCTTTATCCCCTGCTTATGCAGTTCCAGTATCTGGCTTGTCTAGATTGGAGTTTGCATGTTCTCTCTACGTATGCTTCTGCATTCTCCAGGTAATCTGATTCCATCCTGCAATCCAGTAACACACCATGCCGCTTGTGTACGCCTCTTCAAGCTCAGGTGAATTTTGATCCCCTGTCATACTAGCTCTGTAGAAACTCCCTTTACAGAGTAACAGCCACGCAAGATTGCGTATTGAAGGGAGAATAGGTACTGCACAGCATGTACAAGCTGGATAATTAGGGTTAAGCTGTGGTTGCTGCTTGAAACAACTCAAAGGTCTGTTTGACTTTATCTGTTTTCCGTTCTCCTGAACTTCTACCATGAATAAGTACATTTTTATTTAAATGTTTTGTCTTTTCCATTTGTCCAACTCTGAATGCTTATTAATTATTATGAAAAATAAAATGTGTGTGTTGTGCCTCCAGAAATACCTAATTGGGGAAGAACCAGGATGGTTTAACTGCTATTTCAGAGATTCCGCTTTGAATTTTCCCCAAAGCAGATGTGTGTTTTACTTTACCACCATGTCTCTCTTCCTTTCTGACTCATAACATTCAACTTAAATGGCAGCATAGGTCCAACCAAAAAAAAAAACAGGGCTCTACCTAGGTGGAACTGCAGAAGCACAAATGCATAAAATCATGAATATCCGAGTTGGCACCATGCATTTCAAGATGTAATTGCTATGATTTCACTTAATCTTAATTTTCTGTCTGATCGGATGTTAAATTGTGTCTGGTTTGTTCCAGGCTTAAGTGTCCAGTTACACAAAAAAAATAATAATAATTTCATGAATTGGTAGCAATTTCATCTGTTTAACATCTGGTTAACATTCTCTGCAAACGTGCACCAATTTGATGTGAATGTCATGAGTGGCAGTAAAAAAAAACAAAGTAAAACATCTGCTTTGGGGGAAATACAAAGTAAATTCTCTAGATAGCAAAGTTAACCAGCAAGGTTTGTCTTTGAATGGGTTTGTTCATAAACACATGTTACATATATGACAAGTGGGGCAGAGTTGGACATACACAATTAATGAAACGTTTCAATAAAAGTGTGTTTACTCATGGTAGAAGCTCAGGAGCACAAAAAACAGATTAAGTTAAGCAGCATCTCTAACGATCTTGTTAGAGCCGCAAGTGCTGCTTTAGGGTTAACTGTCCAGCTCGTTTGTGCTGTGGGAATTTCTGGTTCATACTCTCCTGTAAATACTCAATCTCACACAGTGAGCGGTTGTTCACCCTCTACCCATCAGTTTGACAGAAAAAGAAAAACAGATTGGCATTTGCTGACTCTGACACAAGCAGTGCTTTTTGAAATTCGGATCAGCTGGACTCATTGAATTACTACTAGTCTTCATCATTTAACGGACCAGTGACCTGTATAGGATGTACCTCAAATCTCACCCGTCCCAGAAGATAGTGTTACACCCATTGTGGCCCTATGAGAATAAGTGGGTATACATAACACATAACTTCCTGATCTTCCTGCCTTTCGTGGTTCATGGGTGAGGCTTCATGAACTTAGTCTTTTTTTCTGGAGCCACATTAAGCAATTAGAATGTGGGTCGGACAGAAGGCTTGAAGATAGAACCAATAGGTTGGTTTTCCAGTACCCAGTGTCACCCCATAAGTGTTGCTGCCCCAATGCTCAGTTGCTTTTAACCACAGAGCGGAGACCACAACATTTGGGGATGTTTTGTACCTCATTTCACCAATGATGCATATAAAATATATAACAAATTAGGTAGATGGAGCTACGTAAAAGGAAATGTAACTTTGAGCAGCTAGTGTTTAGTTTAATTAGTGAGACAATAGAAGAATAGAGAATTAGAATATAATTCAACTTTATTATCATTACACTGTCATGAGTACAAAGCAACAAAATTAACTCTGCATTTAAACCATCCCCTTGGGGAGCAGTGGGCTGCCACTGTGTGGCACCCAGGAAGCAGTGTGGGGTTAGGGGTCTTTGCTCAGTGACCCAGAGTGGCAGTCTGTGGGAGTGGGGCTTGAACTTAGAACCTCTGGATTCCAAACGCAATGCCTTAACCACTAGGCCACCATCCCACCCAGAAAAGCACATCTCTGGGGTAAGATTCCTCGCAGGAAGTCATGTAATCTGGTTCGGTGACTGAAGAGCAAAAGTTACCAACAAGGTTTCCAGATTAGTTTAAAACTAATATCTGAATTTAGTAATAAAGGGACTGCAGCTACAGGTCTAACAAACTTGAAATGGTGATGAAGGCTACATGAGCAGTTTAAACAGCTGGTGTTAGGGAGCTAAAAAATGGAATACTGTACCTCTGAGGTTTGTCTTGTCATCCATGTGGCTAATGGTTATTTCTCCATAACTGGTGTCTTTTCTTCTCACTGTTGAGTAGATAACAGCTGGATCGCTCTCTGTGAAATAAACACATTTAGATGAGATCAGAAAGTAAGATTAAATTAGAGTAAACAATCAAAACCTCTTAAACACCAAAATAATGATGTATTATTACACTTTCACTACAATAACTATCCCTTTACCCTTATTTTAAAAAAGGCCAGATAAAGATGTAATGTCTTTATAAGCTTACTATAGTTAATTTCACAGCCTCTGAGTTAAATGGAGCAAGACCCGTGGATTTATTCTAAGGCAACAGGTTAATCAATCTTTTTATTGTGTGACACCATGAAAAAATAAAAGGGAATCAGCCAAGATATCGGATGAAGAACTTTATTTCATATTTGTTTAGGACTAAGACCAGGTGATAGTAATAGTAGTAGTAGTAGCAAAGTGTCCCAGACTCTCCTAGATGGACAAGGACCTCAACTTATCTCTAAGGGAGTGCCCACCCACCCTGTGGAGAAAGCTCATTTCAGCAGCTTGATTTTGTTCATTTTGGTCAAGATCCAGACTTCATGACCATAGGTGAAGGTAGGAATATAAACCATCCGGTAAATCTAGAGCCTTGCCTTTTCACACAGCTCTCTCTTCACCACAACAGAATGGTGCAGCGTCAGCGTTATAGCAACAGACGCACCACTCCGTTTTCGCATCCCCTGCTCCATTCTTCTCTCACTTATAAACAGGAACCCAAGATACTTGACCTCCTCCACTACAGGCAGGAGCTCTTCTCTAACCAGAAGAGGACAAGTCACCGTTTTTCAGTCTTCCTTCAGGTCTAAAACCATGGCGTTGGACTATGGAAGTTTGATCAGCTTAAAAATGTGCAGTTGTTAAGATATTTGGGAAGTAAACAGGTTCTGAGACCCAGAAAAGTTAAATATGTAAATCAATTGATCAAATCAATGCCTGAAGCTGGTAAAACAGTGTTATCATCCACAGTGAAACAAGTCTTGTACCAACATGGGCAGAAAAGCCACTGAGCAAGGAAGAAGCCATACTTTCTCAGGTAGTTTCAAAATTCCTAATACAATCTGTATTATTATGAAAAGCTTTCCTTAGGTAATATCTTATGTGATTTGATCCTAATGACCATTGTTGTACTTTAAGGCAACAAGGAGGAAACTTACACACCTAAGACAATCATTACAGCTGGGAAGTACAGGGGTGCAGGACTCATGATGTGTTTGCTGCATGGGGAACTAATTTGGACTAACAAATAAAGGGTATAATGTGGAAAAACATTATATGAGACAATCTGCGGAGTTACCGAAAAGGAATCAGCCAGGAAGTACAAGCTTGGGCATAAATATGGTCCTTTAGATGGACATTATGAGCTGCTCAGTGGCGCAGTGGGTAGCACTGCTGCCTTGCAGCAAGAAGGTTCTGGCTCCGGCTTCCTCCCACATTTCAAAAACATGACTGTTAGGTTAATTGGCTTCTCTAAATTGTCCTTAGGTATGAGTGTGTGCGTAATTGGAATTGTTTGTCCTCTGTGTTGCCCTGCGATGGACCTGTCCAAGGTGTACCCCGCCTCTGGCCCATTGACTGCTGGAGATAGGCATCAGCACCCCTTGTGACCCCACTTGGGAAAAGCATGTCCAGATAATGGATGGATGGATAGATGGACATTATCCTCAACCATAGCAGCACATTAGTTAAAGGTCACCTTAAGGACAACATATTCAGTATTTTGGCATAGGCCACAAAGGATGATATTATTGACAAAATGGTGCTGGTTACTCCTATTTTCTTCTTCACTTTCATCACTCTGTGACATTTATATATTAGCAGACAATTCAATACTTTAAAAAAGTATCTAATAATAACTTTTAATAATTTACTTTAGATTAATAAATCTTATAATAAAATTTGATTACAGTTGTTGTTTTTTAGTTTCTATTTCAAGTATTCAGGCAGACATTTCCTGGTCCTTCAGCTGAATTGTTTTCATCAAAAACAGGAAACTATAGACAACCACAAAGCTTCTACTTCACTAAATGAAGAGACCAACCACCGGAATAAAGACCAACATACAAAGCGAAAAACTCAAAGTCAACTCCACAAGTAATCGTTAAAGCAAAACCTGGCAGACTGATATGGTCATTACATGGGTATGTTAATCAGTTCAAGGTTAAATACAGCAGTGATGGAGGATTAAACCATAGAAATTAGATGTTGAAATGTAAATAATCCCAGTCATGGACTATATTTAAACATCAAAAACCTAAAAGCCTTTTTCTACTTTGTGAAAACATTAAAGATGCATTGTAGCTTTTAGTTAAATCTCATCTGCTGTCAATCTTTACCTGTGTTTGACTCAGTCCTCTCTGGCTGACTTGATAGGTTGATGTCACTATAGGTGAGGACGTCCCCTTTTTCTTTCTCATCTGAAATGATCCAAAACCAGGATTGGATCAGAGCAAACAAACCGATACTTGCTGACAAAAGCAACAACCTAACATTTAAAAATAGTGAATGGATTTAAAGGATTTTCTCACAGACTGGTTAACATGTTGAGCTTAATAAACCTGTTTTGGTAAATTGTTTTTTTTCTCACCTTTAGGCCTGTTGCCAAAGCACCGGATCACCAGAAAAACTACCAGAACTAGTAAACACAGAGACGCAAGAGACAGCAACACGTAGAGAAAAAGAGAGGAAGAGGAGCCTGGAAGAGCAGTGGGAGGTGGGGAGGTGGGGGGTTGCTCTGGAATGAAAGATAAACTTGTTAGATTCTGGAAGATCATCTCCCTTCAATAACTCCACTGTCTGATCTTACTAGTGACAGTCAACTGGATGCTGCTGCTGACTGCTCCCTCTCTGGACGACCCACACCAGTAAACTCCACTGTCATGTGGAAACATGTAGCTGATCTTACAGGTAGCATTAGCTAGTTTCCCCCATTCCTTTCCACACTTAGTCCTGGTTTCTCTGGTTGTGTTCCTCCATACAGTCCATCCAGCAGAGCTGTTGTTCTCCTCACAGCTCAGAGACACAGAGTCATCCTCAAAGAACTGAGATCTGCTGGGACTCACAGTCAGAGCAGCTGCTGGAGGGAAAAAAAAGCTTTTTAAGGAGTTTCTTTAAATTATGCTACTAAAAATGATCAGATATTTTTCAGAAACTGCTCATAGAGCTGTAATGTTTCTGTTATACCAGAGCTTTACTGACCGTGGTTGTTTCCAGAGAACTGCAGTGAGATCAGAACTGTAGAATAAAAGAAACTCAGTTTTGTTTGATTGAACTTAAATAAGATCTAAGATCAATAAGCTTTAAAACCCTTTAAATGTTCGGACACTCTTATTCATGAAAAGCAGAACTCAATTGGTCACTTAACACCACTTATCTATGATGAATATTTCAATAAAGAATTGTGTCTGGAAAATTGTATATTGACATAAAAGTATGTCACAGTCTAACCCTTTTCTAAATATAACTCCATGGTTTTGTGAAAATCAAAGTTTATTTTAATCTTTGCCTCTGTAGTTTCTGTTGATATTTCTTTATTTTATTGTGGAGGAAACAGAACTATGAACCTACTGTGTGTTAATGTGGCGTCTACGATGACTTTCGAGGTTGATGATCTATTCCACTAAACTACACAGTGTATTTATCCATCATTTTCATTCTCCTTCTCCGTCTTTACTTCAATACTTCAGGTAAAATATAAAAATAAAACAGTTTCTCTACTTACAGACCAGACAGTGAAAAGATGTTTCCTTCATTGCAGCTCTGAGGGATTTGAGCAGTTTGATATTTTTACACTGAAACCATCTAAAGCCCGCCTCTTCCTGTCAGTGTGAGACTGTGACGTGTCATGGTCTATAAACCACAAAGATATTTCACATAAACAGGCCCCAGCAACGATAACCACAGATAAAACAAAAAAATTAAACAATACAGCTGCTCAAATATAAGTTTATAAATGGTTTAGAGGTCTCATGCCTCAAAAGATTCTGTTCAGGTTTGGTTCAATTGTGGTTTTAATCAACCACTAATGAACCTGTCCAGTCTAATGCAAAAGCCTCAATCAGCAACCATATATACTGAACTGCATTGAATAAGAAAACCCACAATCCTTTGACGGAAGGATGTAAAGGCAGAGACCACCTCCCAGATTTGAACAGAAACATCTGCAGCTGTTACACTCTGTGCAGCTTTCACAAATTTTTAAATTCTCTTTATGTCGTCCAAGAGCGACAATCACTTCATTCCAGTTTTTTTTTGCAAACTCTTGTTGGTTGGAGCTTTTGCTCACTCACCATGATTGTCTGTGCAGATCTGTCTATGTGTGTTGCACCAAATTTCTGTCTGCACAGACGCCACGCAGAGGGGCCTGCAAGCCACAAATAAGGTGATTTGGCAGTGTGTATCTCATGGACACGTACAGCATAATTAATGTTCACAGCTTCATGGTTAGAGTTTCATAATGAGAGGTTCAGCCTTTCATTACATTAGTATAACTCTGTTTCTTGTGGGCAGCTGTCCTGATTTCTTCCCCACCCTGGATCTGTTAATCTCATGAAAGGTGAAGGCAGGGGAGCTAAGAGCTACAACTCAGTCTGACCTCCATAATCCAGTCCTGGTGTTACAGCAGATTTAACCTTAACATCATCTAAACTCTTTAATCATTGTTTTTCTGATTAAGGAGTTGGTTTGGATTCAGGAAACTAGTTTGAGTTAGCAGAGGTAGAAACAGGAAGAAACCTTTATCGATCAGTGAAGAAGCTGCATGAGGAGGAAACATGCAAACATGCTGCCGTCTCTACTCAGATGATAACTCAGTGATACTTCAGTACTGATCTGTAAATGTTGTACTGTACGCTACTGTAATAAAGGTGGAATATTTCATAAATTAAGTCAATCAAGTCATCTCAGTAAGCAAAACAAGTGGCACATTCGCATAATCGCTTGGTTGAAAATCTTATTAAACTTCTCTTCCTGCTTTTCTGAGTTTATCTGCAAAGGAAGGAGCTCTGAGCACACAGAGCTCTTTTAGCAGCACATCTTATTAAATCTGTAGTCCAGAGAATCTGAGGTTTCCTGCAGCTTTCCTCCAGGAGGGCAGAGGAGGCCTCCTGCTTCAACACACCTGGATCGCACTAAAGATTCTCCCCCCAGCAGAACCTGATGAGCAGCTAAATCATCCAGAACCAGAGATGAACTACAGTCTTAATGAACTAGATTATCCTAAATTTAACCAAGCATACAGTATATACAGCGTGACTGAGCATAAGGTAAAGGTCACACCAGTCCTAAGCAAACCTGGCGCCCCCTGTCTGCAGCAAGTATTTCACACAAGCATGAGCCAACCCTGCTCCTCAGACCTCACTGCAGTGAGACCTTTCTCTGCTCCGTTAACAGTGAGTCAGAGAGCTGCATGACCTCTTTAGCACATAAGGAGTTCTACAGAAGCCTGATAATGACCCATTAAGGTATATGACATCAGAGACCTACAGATTTACAGGAAGCAGAGAAACTAGGACCTGTCTGTGCAGAGACACCTGGTGATAAAAAAGTGACACTGAATCAGTTTATAGATTTAACATGAATAAGACCTACCACAGACAAAGAACATACAGTAAATGATAGAATCATTATTTTTACAGGGATTACAGTATATTTTAATAAATTGAATACCAGTGTTGATGACACAGAAGGATTCAGTCTGATGTTTATCTAGATCAGGGGTCACCAGCGTGGTGCCTGCTGGCACCACGGGGCCCTCGAGGACCTGATGGAGTGCTCTCAGCATCTTCTGAGAACAGAACAACTCGCCTGTGAACTAAGTTGTTATACTACAACAACATTTAAGCATTTATAGGGATAAATGACTATATCTAAAAGCAAACGAGAAATGAAAAGAAACAACAGAAATATGTTTAGTATCTATGAAGTTTAGGTGAATTTTGACTCCTCCAGGTCATAGGTCAGTATTGGTAGCCCTTCCTATAACTCAGTGACCATAAAGCAGCCCTCAGTCTTTAAAAGGTTGGTGATCTAGAGTCTCAAAGTGTCATCCTCCATCATCTTGGTGTGCTACTCCACAAGATTTCCTGAAGCTTCAGTCTTCTGTTTATCCCTGAGCTGGAAGTTCTGGAGAAGAACACAGGGGTGTGTTTTTTATGCATATATATGAAACCTCACAAGCAACGTTAAAAACGTTCAGAAATTAAGGAAGTAAGTCTAAAAATAAAATCTCTCGTTAAGCACAGGATGAGGATTTCAGTTAACCCGGAGGGCTTTAACAGGGGGTCCGTGACCCCTTGGGAGTTCTTGGAGGTACAGCATCGGGGTCACAAAAGCTTTGGTTGATTAGACTTTTTTTTACATTCCCTCTGCAACATTTTCCACTAATTGAAATGAATTTAAATCCACATTAACATGAATTCAACAGACTGTAGTAAACAGATAAATGGAGCAGAAGATGTCTTTCAGTCATCAATGCTCACATTCAGCGACACAAAGGAGCTCTTTCAAGCTGGACACCGTTTCATTCACAACACCTGTCCCATCAACCAGGAATCAGGAGCAGAAATACTTTAATAATCCCAGGGAGAAATTACTTTAGTTACATTACTCTATCTGTAATAGAGTGACTATAGGACCAGTTTAATATAACACTATTTCATACAGTATATATAGTTAGGGGGTCCCTGCTGCATTAGTTTCGGGGTCCTTGGCCTGGAAAACGTTGAAGACCCCTGAGTTAACCTGTCCAACAGCGCCTCCCTAGTGGCTTATTATCTAATTACAGGTAAGGTAAACAACAGGTATGCTTCAGGGAGACTGCCTCACTTCATTTTCAGTTTAAACATTTCACTTTATTCCTGCTTCCAGCGGTAAGAATCGTCTGTTTCTTGATTTCATCTTCAGATGTGAAATAGTTTTCTATTTCCTGTGTTGTTTTTCTGTTCAGTTAAATGTTCTGTTTTTCCTCCGCAGTGTGGATCAGGAAGTCTACCTGTGATGGCTGCTCTCACCTGGCGCCTCGGAGCTCTGCTCTGCTCTGCTGGATTCACCATGAGTGTTTCAGCTGGTCAGTAATAGTGAACAGTGAACACTAAGAGTGTCTGGAAGGTGCTTTAAACTCGGTTTTTACAGGTTAACCTTATTGATAGCTCTTTAATCGGGAGAAAACATAAACTGTGTAATTGTTTTGTTTTTATTCAGGTGTTTCAGAAACAAAGGAGATCATTTCAGATTGGTCCATTTTTACGCAAAAAAAAAAAGAGTATTTTGCAACTAAAAGCCAATTTTAAACTGAAAGTTCAATTAGTTTTAGTATTATTGTGCAGTGTATGTCAACAGGTATTTATGTTTTAGACTTTTTTTTTCTTTCATCATAATGGCAGATCCCGCGCTGTGCGTAGAGCCGCATATTTTAAGCGG